AAGAATACTTACCTAAAAATCTTTTACGTGAATGTTTAACAAAAAATATTTTGTGTAATTCTTAGAAGACCTAATAAATTTTGTTAGCTAATTTAGTGCAACAACTTGATAGTAACCATAGCAATTGTGTCCAGTCCTACTGTGATTAGTGAGACTTTACTGTTTGAGGTGAAACCTTTTTGGGATTCTGAATATTCTTTTTGAGTTTTATTCTTAGGTTTTTTTTATCCTCGGACTGACTTTAAATGAGCATCGGAAGAAAAACTCTAGCAGCTGAATATAAGAGACATCTGAGAACTAATGCTAATGGATATGCCCCTGGGAATAAGGTTATCTTGGGAAGGCTAAGATTGGACTCTCTTAATCCATTTTTCCACTTAAGAAATCTGCTCACCTGCTTCCACACGCTAGGCCACTTATAGCGGTGTAGTTAGGAACAGTATTGATGTATTAAATTCATGTCCTTGCTTCTTCCTCTAACAGCAAATCTCTGTAACTCAGGCAAGATAAGTTGTGATTTTGTTTATGATGAATCTCTTACTGGTACCAATATGAGATTATAGTCAATACTTATTATGAAGGATATGTGTTCCTTAATAACTGAATCCCCCAAAGTTATTGTTATTGGAACTTGTCATTTAAGACCTTACAAGTCTTAGGATTGTTAATTGATATTATTCTGAGTCTGACTCCAGGTATGATCATCAAGGAGTGCTATTAAGCCAATGATCCATGATGCCAGCAACCCTATGGTGTGACATGCATCAACTATAGGTGGAGTTCTCATTGGGAAGGTTGGGAGAATGACTCTTGGCATGGGCTAAGATAATTAGTTTCCTAACTCAATTTCCCCAGAATAATATTTCCTCTTGAATGGAAAGCATCCCAGCATTTATGCCTGGCTCAGTGAAATTGGCTATCTATATGACTCTAGCCTGGAAATGACATCAAGATAGAGGAACATCTTCCCTTACCATATAGCTATGGCCCTATTCTTCTTTTATGGCAGATTTCTATAATCATGTTAGGTGATCAGTATAAACACAATGTTAGACCTTTATCTCATAGACTAATACTGGAGTACATGTGAACTACTATAGTAAGATGCAGGTGTAAGATTTGAGTTATTTAGCCTAGAATTCTAGTCCTTTCTATATTCTAAACAACTAAGTAAATTGGTAGATAGTCTTGTTATCTGTCTGTTACTAGTTATATATTCCTGTATAAGGACCTTTAAATTTCTCACAAGGATATAAGGATAATTAAGCAATGATATAAAGACTTGTGAAACCAGGATATAATTCTGTTATGCAGTGAAGTTAATATCATAACTGTTTTCTGTTCTACGTTAATGAAAAGGATTTTGGCACAATTAGTTATCTACAAGAAGATTGGCTTGTGGTCTATCTTGTAAATGCCTTAAAGAGAAATCCACTTTTACTTGGGGTTATTCATTTAAACATGGCTAGAAATTGAAAATGTTTTATTATAAATGACTTATTTAATAAGCACTGTTTTTAAATTACATTTCATCCCAACATCTTTTGCTGCAATTGCAGTTAATATGGCAACTTTTAAGAGAATTCAGTTTTGCATTAGAGGCTATCTTATAAAAAGTGTTCTGTTATTATTTCCTTAGCAGAGCTACCCTCCTAATGGGGGAATGAACAATGCCAACCATAAAAATTGGGTTCAGAGTTTTCTAATTTTTCGGTTTACATTTGAGTTTCTTCTTAGATATATCAACATGACAATTAGCTAACTCAAAATTGTAAATTCTCTGGTCTAAAATGTTCCAATTAGATGTTCTTATTAGTAGAAACATAATGTTTCTGCTAACTCTCACTACTTAACCTGGTTATTGGCCAAACAAACTTTAAAATTATATTAAGATCTAGTTTGTAAAAGATTTAAAAGAAAAAGGAGATTTCAACAAGTGACTTGACTGCTAGAAGGTGCTCTGAAGTCCCACCCATTCCAGTATGCCTAGGAGAAGTTCACTAGAGGAGCAAAGAACCAGACAGCTGTACGAGGTGAGATGTCTGAGTCTTAAAATTTAATGGACCTATGAATTTTGATTTTTGTCCATTTACTTTTTCTCTATGCGCCTTTTATCTGTAAGTTCTTTTTACCAAAGAGGACTGCCCCCAAAGGCTTATGTCAATGCATTGGTCAATCTTTCTCCCTCTTACCTTCACATTTGTTTCCCCTCATGAGCCCCATAGTTTAAAAACCCTTCATGAAGTATTTGTCATATCAGTTAGTGACTCATTGAGGAGACTGCATTTCTCAACTGAATCAAATGGGGAAGTGAGAAAAACTATTATTTTCTCATTACATTAATAATGTAATTTTATATATGGGACTCAAAGATCCTCTTTTTGATTATTAATAACCAATTATTAGTTGGTTAGTTATTAGTAGGGCTTTTTCTTTTTTTACTTCCTCATTCAAAGCCCAGTCCTGGTGCAGGACAGGGCTGACAATAAGACATTCTCCTCAATCAGGACCCCCGAGAGCTTATTTCTGATTAAAGTGTAAAAAGAATCTAATCTAGGTGAATTCCAGCCCATTGTTCAACAATTTAAGTGGTCTGCCTAGACATGGATCCCTTTGTCTAGGTAGCTGGAGGTAGCTGAGTCTCATCAAGTCACATCCTCAGCAGGAGGAGATGAAAACTTTTTGTCCACTTCCTCATTAATATCTCCACCCTCATTAACTGTTAAACCAGAGTTAAACTGTTAAATCAGAGTTGATTTTCACCCCTAGGGACACCCCTTTTCCCAAGGTATTTAAACATTCAACAACCTCCATTTGGGGTCTCTAGTTAAGGGAGAATCCACTGACCTCAATTTGATTATTTGCTAGCATAATTAATAAATTATTAATTACCCAGGAACTCTCTTGGGCTTTTCATTCATTTCAGTTACCTAGACCAGCATCCATGACACCCTCCTCTCTAGAAGCCACATTGGAGAAATAACATCAAATTTCTTCCTCTTTCGAAGTCTCTGCTGAAGGGCTACCCACTTATGTCAAAAGAATTAAAGACATGGACTCTCCCTCACCTCCATCTAGGATCTCAGACTTGCCATCATATTTTAGAAGATCCTCTTTCTTTTAGGTTACATTACCTATTCACAGTGGTTATATGGCAACTGATACACTGCCCTGTGATGTCAGGAAAATAAGGTACTTCCCAAAAATACATCTTTGGTACCCCAAGTCTTTTCCTAGACATTGTCCAAACCATCCAAGGGGAAAGACCTCCAAATGAGAGGGAACTGAGCTATTTCCTCAGGGTGTATGGAGGCCTCTGAGGACACAGGACCTCAAAGATGCTAGGTGACTCTGCCAGCAAAGGAGCAAGAAATAGCAGAAGAGCTGGTCAGCTGGAACTTCTAAAAGCAGTCTCCCTATCAGGTAAATTTTGTGAAGGCTAGATCCTAGAAACTGCTGAACCAGAAAGCCTCTTCCCTTCCTAGGGTGACACTGATTCTTAATGGAAATGATTTCTGGGAGATAGGATATCCAACTTAGTTAGTTAGGGGTATGATGATGAAGTTGTTAACAGGGGGCAGATCTCTTGCCCTCAGAAGGGATAAGATAGCCTATTTAATGCCTGGAAATGGGATGAGGACCCTGTGGGTTAGGTGGGCACTCAGAATGGCATAAAAAATTTTTATGATAAATTCATTTTATTATTAACCATGATACAATGATTTAAAACAATATGACAAGCTAACTCGCTTTCCCTTTTCTTTCTTTAAATATTTTTAATAGTTTTCAAACTTTTTATACATTGTTATGAAAATGTAAAAATTTCGTTTAATAAATAATTTTAGTACTATTATGAAGAACTGTGACTTAGAGTGAATATTTAAACACTGGAAAATGCCAGCAAAGAATTTGAATAATATAACATTCCAATAATCTAACAAAGTTAAAAGCACTACATAGAATCACATGTTGAAATGGCTAATTAGACTTATTTTGCTTCTAAAATGTATTTGGGGACAAACAGATCCAATAGATCCAACCTATTAAATCCCTTTCCTTTAGGAACTTCAATCCTTTCCTTGCATATACTTCCTACCACTTTCCCCAAAGAGGGAACTGGTTCCAATGGAAATTCACCTTTATGGGGTAAGTTATGCAATACTTCTCATCTGAACTACCTAAAAAGGGATAAAGAGTAGTCTATATCTAAAGCTTTTCTAAATTACTCAGTTGACTCAGAAAAAGAGTATCTTCTTGGAGTTCTGCAAGCCCTTAGAATTCTGATGTGAATAGCCAAATTAGCTCCACTGAACCACATTTTCACTCATCTCATCAGGGTGCAGTTTAAGATTCTCTTGAAATCCTCCCAGTTCCTTGGTGGTTAAAGACTGTCCATCCTCTGCTCTTTCTATGGAACAAAACTCTTTTCAGGAGATAAGTAACAGGATAAGCCCATACCTTTTTTTTTTTTTTAAGCACCTATTTCCAAGTTTCATCTGCATTTCTGCTTATAATCTCATGTCCTATAGCACTAGTCTCAGTGGGATATAGCACATTTTCCAGTGAAACTTCTTGGTCAAAGACTACTTCCTATCCCAGACCTGTCATTTCCTGAGACTGGTCTTTCCCTATCTTCATCAGCATCACTCTTTCAACTTATGCTATTAATACTAGCTCCACCATGTACTCTTCTCCTTTCATTGCACAGTCCTTAAAAAATAAAAAAGCTCTGTCTCTAGTTGCTGAAGCACCTCATATTTTCCATGAAAGTTAACAATAATCAGGAAATAGTAAACATGTCACTTAATTTACTCTGTCAGTCTCCTCCTACACCCCCACTTTACTTCTGACTATGCCAAATGTCAGCCAAATTCAACCTAGTCCCTGGTAGTTTAGTTCTAGTAATGGAGTGAAATAAGACACTCAGCTCATTCAACAATTAGCAAAAGGATGTTTAATCAGTCACAGCATAAAAAAGGCCATTCAATAAGACTTCAGCAGTTGGGTTTGGATAGGCAAGACATCCCTCATCTCCATGTAGAAGAGTCAGGTCAGTGGTCACCTGTGATGACTCCAACAGCCTGGGAAGTCTGAAGAGCCAGATTTAACATGGGTGAGCTTTTAAGCTTTTAAAAGGTGAACAAGAAGCCACTTTAACATAGTTTAAGTCCAGAAGGAAACTACTTCAACAACTAAGTAGTTGAGCCTTGGCCTCCTGAATCAATAAATTTTGGGGACACCTTCATAATCCTTTAAAGAAAGAATCAGCCTAACTTATAGAGCAAAGAAGTGGAAACACCATGGTAGATATTGATCCTATCACAATGGCCTATTTGCTTTTCCTCACACATGACCCCCGTATCTGGAAAGCGTTCTTCTTTAAAACCTCTACCTCTTAGAATCCCTCATTTTGTAAAGACAGCTCAATTAAGTACACTGACTGAAAGCCTTTTCACATTAATTACATTCAGAAAGTTCTATCTTCATGAGGATTTTTTTCCAGCATGAGTGCTTCAGTGTTGAAAAAGGGTCTTGCTTTTATCATGCAAAGCCTTCTCATAATCATTAATTACATTCATGAGATGAAAAGTCTCTGATATGTGCTAAAGTATATACTTCAGGAATAAGCTTTGCAATAATCATTTCAATTACTTAATTTGCTTCATGTAAGCATCACTCCACTGTGTAGTCTCTGATGCTGAATAAACTATGAGCTCTAGTGGAAGTTCTTTCTATCTTCATTACATTTACAAAACTTCTCTCAAGTATGATTCTTATAAATGTAATAATTGTGGGAAGGCCTATATTGATACTGAATATCTGATATTGAATAAAGGATATGCTCTCAGGGAAGGTACATCTACTAATCTTTATAGGTTTTTTTCTCTTGTATGAATTCTCAGGTGTCGAGTAAATTGTGAGGACCAGCCAAAGGCCTTTCCACAATCATTACATTTATAGGGTTTTTCTCCAGTATGGATTCTTTGGTGTTCAGTGAACTGGGAACTCCAGCAAAAGACCTTGCCACAATCATTACATTTGTAAGGGGCATCGCCAGTATGAATTTTTTGATGTACAGTCCATTGTGAGCTCCAGCGAAAGAACTTTCCACATTCATGACATTTATAAGGCTTCTCCCCAGTATGAAGTCTCTGATGTCTAGTAAGGTGTACTTTGATATGGAAGGCTTTCTCACAATCATTACACTTGTAAGGCTTTTCTCCAGTATGAATTCTCTGATGTCGAGTTAACTCTGAACTCCGGTTATAGGCCTTCCCACAATTATTACATTTGTAAGGCTTCTCTCCAGTATGAATTCTCTGATGTAGAGTTAACTCTGAACTCTGATGGAAAGCCTTTTCACAATCCTTACATTTGTAAGGTTTCTCTCCAGTATGAATTCTCTGATGTAGAGTTAACTGTGAATTCTGGTGAAAGGCCTTCTCACAATCATTACACTTGTAAGCCTTCTCTCCAATATGAATTCTCTGATGTCGAGTTAACTGTGAACTCCGGCGGAAGGCCTTCCCACAATCTTTACATTCATAAGGTTTCTCCCCTGTATGAATTCTTTGATGTCCACTTAACTGTGAACTCCAACGGAAGGCTTTTCCACAATAGTTACATTTGTAAGGCTTCTCTCCAGTATGAATTCTCTG